TAGAATAGAATAGAATAGAATAGAATAGAATAGAATAGAATAGAATAGAATAGAATAGAATAGAATATTTTGACACAGAATGAGTTACAAGTAATATAAAATAAGGTCAGTTACATAAACAACACAAAAAGAATGTCACAAAACTTGTCTGAGGTTCAACCATAGACTCAATTGAATCTATATGGCTGAACAATGGCGAAGCTCGTTTTAAAACTTTGAATGTCTGTAGAAGTTAACATCTACTTGCATAGGAAAGGGGTTACAACAGCGATGACTATCAGTGCGTCATAATAACTCTCGGGAAATCTTGCATGTTTTTGCGTTCACATTTCATCACCGGCGGATAAGGCCAGCGTTGAATATGCGAATGTAAGTTGGTGATGGGATTTAAATAGTGCATTCTAGAGTGTTCTAAACAATTTAAATTAATGAGAACCGCGATCGAAACGTCCGCTTTTTAATAATCCCAGGGTCGGAGGTTTCGAGGTTTGTCACTTGTACAAAATGGAGCATGTGAATGCCGACCGTCCATTTGTTATACCACCGTGAGATTTCTTATCAAAGCAACTTGAAACAAATACAGTTCACAATACAACCCTGGAAAATCCACTTTACAAGTGATACCATAAACATCTGAACAAGATTTGAAAAGGCAAAATATTCCACTGTTTCACTGTTTTGGTACTTCCTCTGTATCAGAGGCGTCTGTATACTACTTGTATTTCACACTGATGTTCAATCTAACGCCATTTTTACTGGTGTTAGAGATGACGGTAGAACACTTCTGATTAATTGTAACTTTTTTGATATTGATTATGATTTTCTAATCATATATGTACGTCTAAACATCTGTACAGACCATACGAGAGAAGAACATATTTTCCTGAACTACGCCATTAGATAAAATCAATCGACTTGCATAACTTAGTGATTGGCAGATACTTCAACTCTATTCTCGACAAAACAAAAGACAAAAGGGGAGGTACGTTTGGCAGCCATTTAAATAACTATTTTGGTTTTCAAGTCATTCTGTTTATCCCTCAAGGTCACAGGTGTATGGTTCACAATGAATGGGGACGAGCTTCAGTTCACTTTTCCACAAATATACCATTAGTCCTATCTAGGTTAGATTACTTCTTACTTGCGGCAGCAAACATCTCGTATCTCTTAACATATAAATCCCTCGTACAATAAACAACCATCTCTGTTAAACAACCAGTCTATTGTTTGCAATTGACTCGTTTTGCTCACAGAGACAAAAACTGGCTAACAACGCCCTGCAATCGTACTGTAAGACGTGGAAGTTAGACATTATTAATAATAAATCAAAAGTAATAATATTCAATAAAGAAATAAGGCAAACGTCTAGTCAAATTTAAAGAAGATATCAAACATGAAGAGTTATAAAGATTAACGTCTCGGAATAAACTTCAATATAACTTGTAGATTAGATGAAGCACAATTAGACCTGAAAGACAAAGCTTCAAAAGCCTGTTTCAATATGAGTCAAATACCTTTTTTGAGTCATGTGTATTGCGAACACATCTAAAGATGTCTGATATAGTAATTAACCCAGTCCCTCTGTACTGTGCAGAAATTTTGTTAAGTACAACAGCATGTTTTGTATGTGCATCCGTGCGCTGATTGTCTGCGACTGTCTTAGAAAATCCCTAAATAGGGCGTACCAAAATCGGAAAAAATAAAAACAATAAAAAATTGCCTCCTTAAAAAACGAACAGAATTCAAATATTTCTTTTAACAAATATGGTGCAGTGGGAAAAATAGGATTGGAAACGCTGAACAAAGCGTCTGTGCCTCGCGTTTCAAGTAGGGTTACGCGATTATTCATTACTGTGCGTTCGCTTCCTGGAGTTGGTTCTTAATACTACATAAAAATCATCGAGGATAAATAATTTAATATCCCACTTTGTACTCTTCACGGTAAACCATAGGCTCTGAAATACTCGTAGATTTTTTATTGAAAATACATGGAAGAGAAACCATGATGTTTTGGTCGTGATAAAAGGTCACCTTCTTAGGACCGCCCCCTGATTAATAATTCATGAGATGACGTCATATTTACTGGGCATTGCCACGTGTTTTTACCGACCCCATCAAAACACTGGTACGAATGTTGTGTTTCTGATTTATATATTCGAGATCAGTTGTTCTGATTCAACGATTTTACATCAAATGTCTATGTCTATACGTTAACTTTCAATTTCAATAGTCTAGAAAGTCTGACGAAGTATGACAAAGCAGTAATTCCCGGTTGAACGCGCAAATATGCAAATTAGCTTTTTTCTCGTCTTCTATTTTTGGTGAATTCTTGGGTTTTAATTTAAAATAGCTGATAGGCGCTTTGGCCATTTGCCTTGAAATTTTCACATATTATTGACAAGGTGCTCCCCCTTCAAAATGCGTCCGGACAGTTTATTACAGCGAGTGGAACCAAAATAACAAGTCCGCAATTAATATAGATATATAAATTGTACAAAAATAGAAAATAGTGAAATTTGAGGTCATGCTGTGCGATTTTGAAAGCCGTTAGAGAGATGAGTGGACGCATTTGAATTAGTAGTATACCAAGGTATCCAGTGATGTAATTTTACCCACAAACGGACTTGAAGTTTTTAAGCTAATTTTTTTTAAACCACTTTTGCCCAAAAAAGCATATTTTTAACCCAAAATCAAAAACGCATTCTGGATATTTAAAATAAAAACAAGTTTCACAAATTTGTATAATAAGCTTTCAGAAAATATATAACATGTTGGATATATAATACTATCTTCATTGTCTAATTACTCAATTAAAAAGCATGCCAAATAAACTGCATCTCTACCTTAAACATACAAAGAGTTTCTTCGCAGCTTCAATGGAAAAAAATACACACCAAATTGTGCAAGATGAAAGACAATCTGATTAAAATAAGATTCTAGTTTTGTTTTGTTTTTTGTATATTTATTTTATTTTATTTTGATCTAGTATTAATTTTTTGAAGTGTTGGTAATTGCAAATCCAACAAGGATGATGTATGTAGAGAGGAATTAAAAAATATCACAAAATCAAAATCAAAGTAAAATAATAAAATAAAAAGGCATTAATAACAAAAGTAATAAAAAAATAAAATTAACGACGTCCCAAACTGAAAATATTGGCCAGTTTGTTCAGTGGAAAGGTTATTTGCCGTTTCTGCCAAATGAAAACGGACTAATTAGTGAACTACATTATCGAGTACGCTGCGTTCCCTGGGTATCGCATTAGCTTGAATTTTGCATGGGCTGTTCTACCGAAAGTGTCAAACATGCGGGTGAGAGCGTTTTATCCTAACAATAATCGTTGGCGAGAAATCTTGTTATAAACTAAAAGTAAATTAAGTGTAATTCAGTGACCGTGGTCCAACATTTCAAGCTGGTCTCATGAAATAAACGCATCTCGCTGGACAAAAATCTTGTCACCCGATTGGATGGGACACCCTGTGGTTAACATTACGATGTTTGTTACTCATCTAACTAGTTCCAGTTTCATGCAGTACTCGTTTTTTTGAAATAACATTTTTGTTTGTTTACTTAGCAGTCACGTGATAACCATTAAATTCTATCCAAAATTACCCAGAATTTCAGAAAGTGTGAGATAATAGGTTTCATAAAATATATGGTTTACTATAGTTCAGGACAATTCTTATATGAAAATATCAAGCCTAACTATAACATACTTGTTATGTCTACTTCATCCTTAAAGCCCGCACACTACATCAGATTTTAATCAGATTGGATGGAAGACATCTGTGAAAGATTTGAAGCTCGATGCCAGAAAAAAAAAATATGCTCAATGACGACAAAGGCACAAGCCATAAAAATAACGAACAGAGAAATACT